GATTGGGCAGAAATGTGAGCTGCGAAGCCGCTGGCTCCAACTTGGATGAGGGCCCGCATTGCTCAACAGACTTTTTGACTCCTGACAGGAAGTGGAACAAACATGCCAGCGCTTCTTCCTAACTGTAATGAACATTTTACATGAAAATAAAGAAAATACATCATTCAAACCTTTTTGTGCTCACAAACTAGAATGGGGTAAATTTGTCACAAAAGCAAGTGTGCATGCCAGTGATGAGCTTCAGTTTGAGAAATAGGTAAGATTAAAAAAATTAAAAAAATAAAAAAAATTTAAAAAGTCTACATTTATCATAACTTGGGCTTACCCTCAATTAAAAAAAAAAAGTGAATCTACAAATAGCCATGAATAATGTAACAAAAACCTGACAGTTCCCTGAATTCGCCCTAAAAAAAGAAGCGATAACATAAATAGGCAAGAGTAATAAGAATTATTCTTATTATCATTATTTTAGGTCAACCAGGCCCTGTTCCAACACGGGCGTCTCAAGTTTATGGGAGTAAGCAAATATAAGCCATACGATGGAAAAAAACGTTTCCACAATATCGTCCTCATGTTACCTCTCCGTCAAAAACCGTGACCTTTTGGCCACTTCAGCCAAACACAGCAACTACATAGACCATTATACTTTGCGCCGCTGAGTCACTAGGAACACTGGCCAAGCCTATTTCTTTGTCATTGCTGTTATTATGTACAAAAAAGCCATATTGTGCTTTGTTTTTTTTTTCAACATCATGAGCTTTTTTTCTTTTTTAAAAATAATCTTGTGAGTGTTTCTCGAATATTGTGAGATTTTTTTTTTTTATATCGCCGACCTCCCCACAATATTGTGATTATCCTGAGGTTTATATCATGATAGTATCGTATTATGACGTTTGGATATCGTTAAATCACTTTCTAGTAACGCACAAAAGAACCACTGAATTTAGTACAAATTACATTTACAATATTTAAAACGCAAACTACAATCAATGAGCGGTTTCAGATGACGGATGGATAAATTCAATACCAAACAAAATGGAATAAATAGATTTAAAACATGAAATACAATCAAACATTAGAATAAAACTGAAAAAAAGATTCATGAGATTTCCTTTTTTTCCATTTTAAGTAAAGCATTTTAATTTTTCAGGACACAATATTTGTATTAAAATTTTAATTTGTTTTTTTTTTAAATATTGGAAGCCAATTTTTATTTATAATGGATTCTTTTTTTTTTCGTTTATTCAAGCGTGATATTATATATAAACCGGGTATAATGTTATAGTGAGTTACAACGATATTTGATACACTTTTTTAGGGGTAAAACTGCTCTCTTGTTTGATAAACACTTCCCGAACTACTATGACGTAAGCGCATTTTAATGTTAATACTTGGAGAGTTTACCCGACAACCTTCTGTGGTGGTACTTACAGAGAAATGTGTTTTTAAACAGCCACAAAATATAATAAAAATGCATAAAAAATAAATACGTATAAACTTTAACGTAGGTGTGACGCTGATAGCAATGTCATCAACTAGATTTTTTTTTTTTTATGATGCCATAATGTCTCATACCCAGTCCAGTTGTTTCAAGATCGAAGAAAACCACCGTGTAAGACATCTGTGGAGGAGAAAAATAAATCAGCATTCCAGTTCAAGACAGCAACAGCAACAACAACAACAACAACACCTCAATGGAAAGAAAAAAAAAACAGCGTTAAAAAAGCTACTCACCGTGAAGAAGCGTCTCGCGTCGACTGCCAAGCAATTGTCAGAGTTGCGGGTTTTATAGCCGCTCACGTCAAGCTAAGTCAACTTTCATTTGCGAGGAACGGGGACTCACTCGCCTTACGTTTCCCTTTCCTTTCCTTTCCCTCCCCTCTGGCTCTGGCTGGCCCACGCATCGGGGCTCGCTCGCGAGGTTGTTTTCCTCGCAACCAGCGACTTTTCTCCGCTTTTCCTTTAGTTTCGCTTTTTTCGCGCGGTGCACGACGGGAAATGTAGTCCGCCGCTCCTGTGGCGCAGCTGCATTTCAATGCAAGCGACGGCGTACTTTTGGATTTTGCACGTCAAAATATGTTCGTCTATCTTATATTATATTATACATGATTCACTTATAACGAATAGCTTTAGTTTGTAGTATTTTAGATATGCAAAGTAGATTTCATCAACTGCTCAATTCCATTCAAATCCATTCTTATTTCCATTACGTTAATCCGGTGGCCGGCACGGTTAACACGTCCGCCTCGCAGTGCAGAGGTGAGAGATTCGATTCCGGCTCTGGCCTTCCTGTGTGGAGTTTACATGTTCTCCCCGTGCCTGTGTGGGTTTTCTCCGGGTACTCTGGTTTCCTCCCGCATTCCAAGAACATGCATGGCACGCGAACGGAACACTCGACATTGTTCCTAAGTGTGATTGTGAGTGCGAATGGTTGTTGGTCTCTGTGTGCCCTTCGAATGGCTGGCAACCGGTTCAGGGTGCCCCCCGCCTACTGCTCGGGTTAGCATCAGGTATCGGGAATAATGGTTCTCAAACCTATTACATCAAGTACGACCCAAAAAATAAAGTTAGAAGGGTAATAATAAACAGTATTTAAATAATGATTACATGAGAATTGCACATAAAAGTATTTTTCAACTGAAATATTGTTTTAAAAACAAGCAACCAGTAACTCTCGCACAATAAATGCACTAGCGTATTTAACATGAGCATTGAATAGTTTCCAACTCGACTTGGGCAGCAATTTGTGCTACTACAGGGAGCCTATAAAACATTTTGCATTTTTGAGATGGAGGGGTGGGTGGGGGGGCTGGGGGGAGGGGTGGAAAGTGAGTCAAAGAGGGAAAATGAAACAGAAAGTAAGAGGGAGAGATAGAAGAGAAAACGAAAGAGAGAGACAAGGGAGAGAGAGAGAAACGGAATGAAATGTATCCGACATATTATATCAAGACAGAAAACAAGAAAAGTGGAGTGTGCGCAATATTTGGCAGCCAACTCACTTCAGGTGTGCCCGGAGGATTTCTAAATGATCCAAAGTTGAAGAATGATGATGATAAATTTCATGTCACCATTCCTTGAGGTACCCCACAAACTCCATGACAGTATTTGGATTGTTTGCTGTTGATTTCAACAAACCATTGTGGAGGGGAGAAGTCCATTTCCTGATGGCCGTCCTTGTACACAGGTTCTTTCCTTTCTCTATAAAGGCGAGAGAAAGACCCAACTCTGCGCCATCTTTTCTGTAGTTGATCACAACTCGATACGAATCGATTCGGGCTTCTGAGAGTTTTAGATTTCGTCAGAAAAGCGCCGGAAAAATCCAGTCACAAGTCTAGATCGAGACAAATATGATCATGAGAGTAGTAACGGGCAGTTACATCTTCATGCAAATCCCGCAAGAAATGAACATGTCATCTGACCCCCCGGTGTGGCTGGAAAAAAAGTTGGCAGTGGTGAGGTGAGACCAGACCACCCCGACCCCCGCTCTCGTCTTCGGTCTGAGCTTTGATGTGATGCAATCAACACAGATACTTGAGATAACAGATACTCTTTTGATGTTAAACATGTCCTCTAGAGGGGTCCTAAAAGTGGTGGGGGTGAAGGGGGTCACTAAAGGTGATTGCAATCACACTTAAGCAGGAAATACCTTCAACGGCATATACCATTCTCGCTTTCAAGTGCTGGAATGAGATGCAACAACAGAGAGGGGCTAGAAAATCAGTCAAGAATAAATTCCTGCACACTATCTTCTGTATTTGAGACAACTTGTGACCCACTGAAGTGCTCTCTCGGGGATTCAGATCAGGGGATGCCGATTACAGGTTTAGAAAAAAATTATTTGACTTGAGGAAGGTCCGTTATTGCTGTGGCAGTCGAGTGATTAGAGCGAAATCCTTATTGGCTGCTACTTAAAAGTTTCACAAAGGTTTAGCTTCCAACAAGGCAAAGGACCCCCCGAACAGAAAGCTAAATCGACACCGGAAGCGTTCAAAACTCGACATCTCCAGGTGTCGTAAAGAATAGCCAAGTCAAAGTCCAGACCTAAATCTAATTGGGAATCTGCGGAAAGATGTGACAACTCCTCTGTCCACAAACGAACGCCACCTCACCTACCTGAGCTGGAGCTGTTTTGCCAATTTCAATCTCTCGATGTGCAAAATTTTTGGAGACGGATCCCGGTTGGAGTTTAGTGATCTGCTGATCGATAAGCACAGCACTCAACAAAGTTGTTGGAACGGCAAGGTCACTTTCTTTGTTTTTGTCGTGTATTGAAGACATTTGGCTTTTTATGAGACCAAAGTTGAGAATGCAGACTGGGATTGACAAAAAAAAAAAAAAAAAAAAAAAAAAAAAAAAAACCATCTAAATGTCATGAACAAGTCAGGACCTGTTGTTTGTATTGAACAGCATTTGTATTTGTTTGTGAGAAGGAGACCACGGGGGCTCCACAAAAAAGCAGCAAACCGACAACGCAACAGAATCACAGCATCGTGAGAACATTTTCTGCCAAAGTGAAAAAAGAACAAATCCAGTTCACAAGAAAACCGACGTGGGAAATACTTGGATTTGCTTTGGCGAGAGCACGCAAAGTGATGCGGCGGGCCGCTTCCGGCCTCGGGGGCTTTTGAGCGGCTACCACTCGATCAAGAAATCCTGAATGTCATGGTCATTTAAGGCCCACCTCTTCCAAAGGCCCTGCAACGCCCTGGCGTCCTCCAGCCCATTGTGAGCGTCGTAGTCCTTGCCCACTAAGTCCTTCAATTTCTGACTGCCACCAGGGTTGATCATCCTGCTGACCTTTAAGGTGTCCAGATGAAAGTGCACGACGTTGCGGAACTTCCAAAAGTGGTGGAATCTCCACAGCAGCCTCATCAGGATGCGGACGTGAAACGAGTTAGCGTTGTGGGCCGCCAGGCACACGGGCCTGTCCAAAGATCTCAGGAATCTGAGGAAACTTGTGAGAGCCCGGTTGACTGAGACGGTGGGCTTGGCCTTCCTGCGGCGATAGAGAATGCCGTCCACCATGTAGAAGCCGTTGACCTCGTAGGCCCGCTGAGTGATGGGGCGTTGGGGGACAATGTAGGCGTTGAAGGTCAGGTGACCGCAAACGGCCCCCAGCTGGATGATGTGACACCGTCGAGTGTCTGCGGGCAAAGGGGAGTCAACTTAATAGCCACATCCTGTGATTTTTTTTTTCCCCCCAGTGCAAAGGGCTCTCTTGCACAAAACTGCTGAACAAGAAACTAACATTAACTGCAAAAAGACCACTCAAGGACAACACAAAACTAAAGAACAGCAAACCAGCAATAAGTGCAAGAACTCATTTTTTTTTGCATTTGTCTTGTCCAGGGAAACCAAAGACAACAGAAGTCTTTGCTCAACGATGACATTTATTTCAGCGACAGTTGACGGAGAAACACCATTCATAAATCTGTCATGGAGCCGTGGGGCGCGGCCCCCTCTGATAGCCTTTTTTTTTTCTTCCAGGGAGGGATTGAAGAGTAAAACGAAACCGAAACATGTTACTAATATGGTTACGTTCAACGATACTTGATTGTCATTGGTTATATGTGTTCAATAATCAAAAAGAAAGAGAAAAGAGAGAAGAGAATGAGAAGAGTGCTCCTCTCTGAACAGCCGTCTGCTGCTCATCCTGTTTTGCAAGTGTGAAGGGCAGGAAAACCACAATATGGCACACAAGGCACTTGCATCCACTCTTAGGGATGGATAGATGGATGTGCGACAGCAGTTAACGCAGTTAATGGTTAAAACACACGTTGACGCTGTTGAATATAAAATTTCCACTCCACGTTTTTCTCAAATCACTCCAAATTGGAATATTTGTGAGATACTATGTTTGTCCTGCATGTCATTCCAAGTCTGCAAAAATGGATTCCTCACGTTGTCACATAGGGCAGGATAGGAGAAAACGCATCTCGTGCTGAATGGGTGACATTACAACTTAAAAACGACACTTGATGCATGTTTGGCACAAGCAGAATTTTGTTTCGGATTTTTTTTCCCCAAGATGCTTTCAACATTTTCATGAATTTTTTTGGTGGAAATTGTTCAGGAATTATTCCTCTCGAAGTAGTTTAAGGAATTATTCCTCTGGAAGTAGTAGAAGAACATTGTTGAGGAATTTCACCTTGTTATGAGAACTATTGATACTAGTCTCTGTCCTGAACATCTGCTGAAGTACTTAAAACAAAGAATGTCGTGTGAAGTTTAGATCCTATTTCCCCCTGAGTGATTAAGAGCCCCCCCCAAGTGTCTTCTTTTGTGTCCCCCACCTCGGGAAAGTCCCTGAAGGCTGTCAAGTTCCCTCGAGGAGGAACTCTTATCTCGAGATTTGTGCACAACAGATGTGGTCTGTAGTTTGTCAAAATGCCAAGATCGAACTGCATTGACCTTTCTTTGTTTCTGATTTTTACATAAGGGGAAGGACTGCCCGCCCCTCATTAACGTAATTAACATACTATGCCTATATATACACGCGAGACTTTATTTCTTCGAGGCTTCCTGATGAAATCTGAGACTCACAGGAGCCCGAATCGATTTGTGTTGCGTTGTGATAAACCGAAGAAAAGACGATGTGGTGTTGGGTCTTCTTCCACCTTATAGAGAGATAAAAGAACCTGTGTCCAAGGGGGGCCAAAAGCAAATTGACAGCTCCCCCTCCTCTGCAAAATGTATATTGAATGTTGATAACCGTTTTAGAATTGTTTGGGTTTTAAAAAAAAACTATTTCAACAATCATTTTTGTTATTTTGACTTCAAGATGGCGCCGCGAGAGTGGCTGCATTTCTAGCAGCTCCTATATTTTGTTGTTCTACTTCTTCCTTTCATAACTTTGCTGCTGTGAATTGGGAATTTCTCCATTGCGAGACTAATAAAGGTCTTATCTTATCGTTTTCTTATCTTATCTTATCTTATCTTCCCCCTCCGTTTTAAAAAAAAAAAAAATCAAACAAGGGGTTAGTCAAGACTGGTCGCTTTTTGCATGTGGCCCGCGGGCAATTCTGCCAATTGCCTATCTTAGGGATGGCGAGGAAAAAAAAAACAGCCAGGGGAAAGACAGCAGACAGCTTCGCATCTGCCTACAGTTTGTAAATGCTTGTGCCAACTGAAGGGTAAAGAAATGAGAATAATTCAAAAGAAAAACATGAAACAAACGAACACTTGATTCAGTCACATACCCAATCCAGTTGTCTCCAAATCAAAGAAAACCATGGCAAAATCATGCATCTAAAAAAAAATAAAAAATAATGCCACAAACACATTTAAGGACAGTCATAACAATACTGAATGATCATGTCATTCATACGAAAGTGCAACACATTTCAAAAGCACGGTCAAGCGTTGGAAAAAAAAAAACGGAGAAAATGAACTCACCTTGAAGATGGTGGCCGTCGCCAACTTTTTTTTAAAATTTTTCCGCTATACTGTCGCGGCGCGTACGGGGGTCGCAACTGATTGTGGCCCCTCCAAGTCGCTGTCTCTTCGCGAACGCTCGACACTTCGGCGGACCGTGGCTTTTCTTTCAGTGGGATTCTGAAATACGGAGCAGAAACGGCTGAGCAAGGAACAATAATGGCGGCCTCGACGCGGCTCACAACTTCAATTTTGTGAAGCGGAGGCTGGCTGGACAGCAAAGCGGCGCTTTCTCCGACTTAACTGCGCCAAAAGACGAGCACCTCGACGTGTAAAATCTCGGCAAAACGTAAATGAAATGCCAATGCAAAAAGCAACGTAGGCTCACAACGAATCGCGGAACTAATTCAAAACACCACACAATAGAAAAAAAAAAAACAAAGCGATAATGTTTTGATCAAATTAGAAATAAATGATGAGCCTCAGCGAGAGGATACTTACCAACGTGACTTCCTCGTAGCTCTGCCCCCAGCTACAGCTGGAAGCTGGTGCCCCTACTGTGCGCCGTTGCGTCACTTCTTCTTTACGGGCCCCCGCCGCATTTCACGTGAGCAACAAGACACTTCATTTGGCACACTCGCGCCTTCTAGTGCGGCGGCTTAAGACGTTAATTGGGTCTTCCCCCTAATAGGAGAGGGTGACTTTGTTCGATAATATTTTATACAATATGGTGCCGTCGTTTGAGCACTTTTGTCAATATCTTGTCAGATGCCAAACAGATTAACTGCTCAATTCCATTAAAAATACACGTTTGCTGCAATATATCAACGATAGAATTTACTTGAACATTATTTTCATTGTCTTTATTATTACATTATTATATACTTATATTTTTTTTGGAGTGCTACGAAACGAACTTTTTAAAAATACAATTTATGCATATCACTTGCGGTATTCGTGCCGCACTGAGAATCACGGAAATACTGCACACGCCATATTGTGTGCTCAATTATTTTCTGATTATGTTTCTACATTGCAAATGTAGAATTTCAATTAGAAGTTCGCATTGTTTGTCGTTTACGATTTTTAATAATTATGTAAGAGTCAAACCTCGGTTTTCAAACGTCTCTATAATCGACCAAATCGGATTTCGGACAGAAAATTCGAGATTTTTACTCCTCGGATTACGACGGCTAACCGGTTTTCGACCAAACTGAGCAAACCCGAATACGCCACTCGACTCCCCTCTGTTTAACGCTTCCTTGTGTAACGTTCATTGTGAGCAGATGTGTTTGTTGTGATTTACGCAAATCTGACTGTTTTTATGTTATTTCTGAATAGTGTATTAGCCCCTAATCATGGGCTAATAGAATAGTTTCGTATTTCGAACAAATCTCTTTTCAAACAGCCTTCTGGAACGGATTATGGTCGAAAAAAGAGGTATGACTGTATTAATATTACTTTTTAGTCAACTATTTTCTGATCTGCTTATTCTCACAAGGGTTGCGGGGCGTGCCGGAGCCTATCCCAGCCATCTTCGGGCAGTAGGTGGGGGACACCCTGAACCGGTTGCCAGCCAATTGTAGGGCACACCAAAGACGAACAACCATCCACACTGTAGTATCTGTTTTATAATTTAAAAAAAAAAAAATAATGCCACAAACACATTTAAGGACAGTCATAACAGTACTGAATGATCATGTCATTCATACGAAAGTGCAACACATTTCAAAAGCACGGTCAAGCGTTGGAAAAAAAAACAAAAAACGGAGAAAATGAACTCACCTTGAAGATGGTGGCCGTCGCCAACTTTTTTTTTTTTTTTTAAATTTTCCGCGTACGGCGCGTACGGGGGTCGCAACTGATTGTGGCCGCTCCAAGTCACTGTCTCTCTTCGCGAACACTCGACACTTCGGCGGACCGTGGCTTTTCTTTCAGTGGGATTCTGAAATACGGAGCAGAAACGGCTGAGCAAGGAACAATAATGGCGGCCTCGACGCGGCTCACAACTTCAATTTTGTGAAGCGGAGGCTGGCTGGACAGCAAAGCGGCGCTTTCTCCGACTTAACTGCGCCAAAAGACGAGCACCTCGACGTGTAAAATCTCGACAAAACGTAAATGAAATGCCAATGCAAAAAGCAATGTAGGCTCACAACGAATCGCGGAACTAATTCAACACACCACACAATAGAAAAAGAAAAAAAAACAAAGCGATATGTTTTGATCAAATTAGAAATAAATGATGAGCCTCAGCGAGAGGATACTGACCAACGTGACTTCCTCGAATAGGAGAGGGTGACTTTGTTCGATAATATTTTATACAATATGGTGCCGTCGTTTGAGCACTTTTGTCAATATCTTGTCAGATGCCAAACAGATTAACTGCTCAATTCCATTAAAAATACACGTTTGCTGCAATATATCAACGATAGAATTTACTTGAACATTATTTTCATTGTCTTTATTATTACATTATTATATACTTATATTTTTTTTGGAGTGCTACGCTCAATTCCATTAAAAATACACGTTTGCTGCAATAGATCAACTATAGAATTTACTTAAACATTATTTTCAATGTCTTTATTATTACATTATTATATACTTACTTTTTTTTTTTTTGGAGTGCTATGAAACGAACTTTTTAAAAATACAATTTATGCATATCACTTGTGGTATTAGTGCCGCACTGAGAATCACGGATATACTGCACACGCCATATTGTGTGCTCAATTATTTTGTGATTATGTCTCTACATTGAAAATGTAGAATTTCAATTAGAAGTTCGCATTGTTTGTCGTTTACGATTTTTAATAATTATGTAAGAGTCAAACCTCGGTTTTCAAACGTCTCTGTAATCGACTAAATCGGATTTCGGACAGAAAATTCGAGATTTTTACTCCTCGGATTACGACGGCTAACCGGTTTTCGACCAAACTGAGCAAACCCGAATACGCCACTCGACTCCCCTCTGTTTAACGCTTCCTTGTGTAACGTTCATTGTGAGCAGATGTGTTTGTTGTGATTTACGCAAATTTGACTGTTTTTATGTTATTTCTGAATAGTGTATTAGCCCCTAATCATGGGCTAATAGAATAGTTTCGTATTTCGAACAAATCGCTTTTCAAACAGCCTTCTGGAACGGATTATGGTCGAAAAAAGAGGTATGACTGTATTAATATTACTTTTTAGTCAACTATTTTCTGATCTGCTTATTCTCACAAGGGTTGCGGGGCGTGCCGGAGCCTATCCCAGCCATCTTCGGGCAGTAGGTGGGGGACACCCTGAACCGGTTGCCAGCCAATTGTAGGGCACACCAAAGACGAACAACCATCCACACTGTAGTATCTGTTTTATATTAAGTAGTGCATTAATTTCATGGTATTACGTTATATGATGTTAGCTAATCGTAGTTAGTAGAAAAAGGGCGTATGGTTGTCAAACAGAGAAATGAACATGTCAAACGAGAAACTTAGCAAGAAGCAAATTGCATACAGATGATACTTATTAACTAATTACAGGGCCTATGGTTGTCAAACAGAGAAATGAACATGTCAAACAAGAAACGAAGCAAAGAGCAAATTGCATACGGATGATACTCGTTAACTAATTACATGTCAAAGAATGCATGGTGAAAGAACAATATGAATACTGATGATACCTGCTAGCTATTCGGCAATGGTCATCATTAGATTAGCAGATATGCCCCAGTGGATCAGCGGAAAACGCGTGTCAGTCAAGACTGTTGCACATGTTCAGTAATTACATCTAGAGGACTCGCATACATTGAATTGCCATGACTACGAGGATACGGTGACTTCTGAAACCCATGTGCAATCACACAAGGGCCCGGTAGGGGCCTCTATTTTATTTTAAAAATAAAGATATTGTGATACCATTAGAATGCAGAACCGAGACATGAAGCAATTTATAGATACCATTAAAATCTAGCTGATAACGAAGGCCCCAGCGAATCAGAATTACACAACGCATAATGATACCATTAAAACTGATAAATGACCGAAGCGATTGTCCAATGAAATTGGAGGGGTTGGCCTCTCACAACGTTATAAAACCTGTGTTCAATCTCAAAGGATTTCAGAGTTTCCCGATGTGCACATCTGTATCTCTCCGGGTTTTGATTGAATAAAACTCGTCTGTGACCAGCCTGCACTTCGACCTCTGGAATAAGTTTGTATTTGGCTTTCGAACGATCTCGGCTTCAAGCTTAAAGAAACATCTGGTGTGTCCCCCGGTCCGCGGCTCAACGAAGGAACGATTCTTCATGTGTCGGCCCTCCTGATCCTACGGCCGGCACCCGGGAAGAGGCGGAACGCCTCGGCACGTCCCTGACCTCTGGGGAGAGGCTTGGATCGGGTTCCGGGTCGACACATCAACACTCACACCTCGGGACAATTTCGAGTGTTCCATAAACTTGCCATGCATGTTTTTGGAATGTGGGGGGGAAACCGGAGTACCCGGACAAAACCCACGCAGGCACGGGGAAAACATGCAAACTCCGCACAGGAAGGCCTGAGCCGGAACTGTACATTGAAAACAATGTACCTCTGCGTTGTGTTCTGATATTACTCAACTGGAGTCAATTTAGGTCTCAGAGTGCTTTTATTTTCCGACCTGGGTGCATAAAGTGAGACACGAGACGGTCTCGCCGGCTCTCCTCGGCCACATTCGGAGCGGTTTGGCTGTGCGAATGTACGCTCACACGACACACTCCTGGGAATCCCGAACAGGATCGGGATTTCGTATATCGGGGGAGCGCGCGGCTTTCAAATCAATAGGCAGTCAGTTAACGTGTGAGCTCGAGCCACGGTCTGTCTTGTCTTTCCATTTTATTTTTCCTTACAACCACTGACATGTTTGTATCATTAAAATAATAACAGGTAAAAAGAAAAAGTAACACAAAATTGCACCATGTGTATAACTATGTCCCGAGTGGCGCAGACAAAAACATTTGTTTCATTTTTTTTTTTTCTTTCCTGGCCTTGTAAGCACTTGATCGTACACACAGGATAATATATCCTTCATAACAAATCCTTTGAAAGCAATCAACCAGCAGAATGCGTGGACATAAATAAAATATACATACATACATACATACAGTACATACATACGCCGTTTATAAAAGAGGAACAAAAAGGGCCCGAGAAAGCACAGCATGCCTTCCAGTGACACTTACATTCACTTTTTTTTTTACCCCCACACACATGATGCAATATGACATGAACAAATAATACAGAAAAGTTTTGTTTTTTTTTTGTCCATTCAGCTCCTTTTTTGTGTGTGTATGTGTGTGTGTGTGTGTGTGTGTGTGTGTGTGTGTCAAGTGAGGAGGGCGAAAGCTGCTTAACACTGATTGTGTTGTACAGAGAGACAAATCTTGCAGCTTTAATTGTGGTGATAGACAGCTACCCGATCAGGCCGTTAGAAGCCTTCACTCGATACCGAGAAATATTTGAATGCTACTGTGTTTTGGTTTCTGCGCATTAAATGCTACGAGGGTCCGCGGACGGAAGCGCTGTTGTTGAGCTAAAATAAGAAGAGGAAGTCAGAAGTATATGGACAATTGCCTTTATGCACGTGAAATAAAACAATCAAGCTGTCAGCTTTTAATGAAGATCTTTAAAGAAACCTAAACCTACCCCCCCCCCCAAAAAAACCATTTACTTATTTAGGAAGGAGGCCCATTTTATGCCGATGACGGCCAAATGACATCATCAGCATCGCAGCGATACATGGGCTCCCTCTAGTGGTATGCGAAAGAATCACAAAGTCAAGTACAGTTGGATTTAACTTTTAAGTTCAATACGTTTGCCTTTAATCTTAAAAAAAAAACCACATTGTTTTAAAACATGGACTTGGTTATAATTTCATTTTAAATTTTATTTGCGATAGATTTCAATGGAATCATGAAGTAGAGCTTTATTTTCAATATTAGTGTTGCAATATTGTCTGTCTACCTGTGTTGCAGCACTGTTCAAAAATCCGCAGATACTATCGACACTATTTGTTAGCTTTTCAATGGTGTTTTGCATTGTGTATCAGCACTAAGCTAGGGGACGTTAGGCAAAATGTGGTTTTATTAAATACATGATGTGTAATTTACTTTTGTTTGGCGTTTAGTTTGACACTAAACTTCAATGGCGGATCCTAATAAATGACTGGAAGTCTCTTTTTTGGGGGGGAAAAAAAAATCTCCAAACTTCTGCTTGTGGGGACGTGAGTTGAGTTTACTGCCACCATTCAGCGCTTGAATCTCAAGGTTTCGCTTGCAAGTCAAAACAAATCAGGACCCCAAAAAGTCGGGTCATTTGTTAAGGCAGAAAAAAAAAAAAAAAAGAGGAGGAACGGCTCATGATCCAAAGCATACCACATGAGGCGTCAGACATGGCAGAGGCTGCAAACTGCAGTTACTTCATTGTCCAAATACTTTTGAGTGGCTGGAAATGGGAGACTACACATCAAATGCACCTCATACTGCAATGCCAAAATTTCGAGTGAAAGCTCTTCACTTCAAGCTCAAAGTCTTGACTTCACTCAAATCTTGAAGACGTCATGGTCCAAATACTTCGATGGACAGACCTGTAGACCATGTGCGTGTATGTGTGAGCTGATACGTCCTCTTCCCCAGTGCCACCCACCCCCCCGAAAAAAAATCAACATAAAGCCTGTTAAGTGTTGCCCAACAGAAACTTAGCATATCAATCAAATAGCAATGACAGCACACGTTAGAACAGCAAGAATTCAAACAAAGGAGAGAAATTCAAGTGGCGACGTCCTAACACTGACGTTTACGAGCGTGGCAATGGAATGAATGCGTTTCACCTGCTCTCTATGTACATGTTCTTCTTATGCTCAAAATCATCCAATCCTCCACCAACGCCAGTCGGTGTCTATCCCGGCGGAGGTACACCCCGGAGTGGTCGCCGGCCAATCGCAGGGCCAAACGGCATTCGCGCTCACATTGACGCTAGCGGATGATTTGGAGTCGGCAATCAAGCTGACGGGCATGCGCGTCATCGGTGAAGGGCGGAGCCCGAGTCGAACCTCTTAAACGGGAGGCGGACGTGCTAGCCACCTTATTCATAAGCGGACTTTTCACCATGGGGGACTTGCGGGTGGCAAAAGCTCAAAAATTCTCCTGGGGAAACGAACGTTCTATGTCACTCGCCCGTTTGAGGAAATGGATGATTTGAGCCTTCTTCTTGACTAGGGCTGAACAATGAATTGAATTTTGAGTTCAGACTGACCGTGCAATGTAGTGGTATGCAAAAAAAAAAAAAAAAAAAAAAGCTTCATTTCGGGGGGTTGGTAGGCTTTCTTTTGTCATATTATGTATATTTCATATATTTGATAATATCATGTCGAAACACGCTGAATAGACTGCAAGTTGAGTAAGTTCCCAACTCCCACTGGAGCAGTTTTTCAAACTAATTCATGCCTTTACTTTCACATAAGCCCCACCCATAAAACATTTGGCATCCAATTTTGTTTATCGTAGTACACGTTGATTTATTGCCCAAGAGAACCTTCATAAAAATCATGAAACATGAAATCGCAATACTGAATGGAAAAAAATTAAAATGAGATGATTTTTTTTTTCCAAAATTGTTCAGCCCGACCATCTGCCGCATGTGAAGGGTCAGCTGTGACGTGTCGTCCCGCTCTTTCTTTACAGGAAGTCAAACGGATGAGCATGCAGCATCTCGGCTGGTGTGTAAACGTGACAAGCGGATTTAGCTTAGCTTAGCTTAGCATAGTTTAGCGTAGCCGAGCGATTCAGTCGTTCTGGCTACAAGCTGAAGAAGAAAGACGGCCCACCAAAGTTCAGTCTTCTTCCGCGCTCTGGCTCAGTACTCACCTGCTCTGCCGGGGCGGGGGGGTGCACGACCCCCGTGACCAGCCGCAGCCGACCTTTGTCTTTATCAAAACTTTGAATCAAGGCCCCGCGTAGTCGGGCCGCCTTGCGTCCTTGCCGGCGTCACACCATGAACTCGTTGCTGCCGTACAGAACCAGCTGCTGCGGCGCCGAGCCGAACTCGGGCTCCCTTCGGTGTCCTCCCGACGGCTCCCGCGGCGAGCTGCGGCTCAGGCGGAGCCTGTGACTTGGGCGGCTCATCTCGCCCGCCGCGGCCACCGCCCCTCCCGGGCTGTAGGAGGCCAGCAGGGGTCCCGACGACGACGAGCGGAAGCGGTAATGAGGGGACGGCGAGGCGGACGGCGGCTGATTGGAGCAGGCGGAGGCCGAGTCGGCAGAGTCCACCGAATCGGGATGGCGGCGCATCGGTCGCCTGCTCTTCGGCTCCCATTTTCTGGAGCCGCAAGCGCCCGATTCTGTGGATGACACCACTGTTTGATATGCGGGATCGGTGTTCGTCTTGCTTTCGCTTTTCCACATTTCTCATAATTCATACCGCAGCTTGTTTTCCCCATGTGAGCAAGAATATGTGACTCATCTAATCCCCGTTTCTCCTCTGTTGGTTACTAACATACACTTCGTTTGGGTTTTCGAACCAAGTTCAATCACTGGTTTTGGTTTGGGCCCTTACCGGGCAGCTCCGTGTTGGCGCCCTCCGTTTCCATGGTGATGTTCTCGGAGCTGTCCGCCGTGCCGATGGACGCTTCCGATTCAGGAGTCTCATCGTCGGACGCTCGCGGTTCCAAGATCAACATCTCGTATGTTAGTTCCTCCCTGCAAAAGTCCCATCAATAATACACAACGTTAGTTTTTGTCTACCATCAACCCGATATATCAAATGTTGCGACCTGTCGTACTTTTCTCTCTGCAGACTCTCAATCTGCTCGGTGAGGATGCGCTCCTCTTGCTGCATGGCGAGCTGCTGCTGCTCGCTCAGCGGAGCCTCGGCCATCTCCTCGGCGCCCGCTCCCGCGCTCCCCCCGTCCGCCACCGGGGGGCCCGGCCTGGGGCTGAGCGGCGGCGACGGCGCGTGGCCACTGCCTTGCCGAACGCGACTTTTGCCCTGAAAGTTTGCACACAGACAAAAAAACAAAAAAGGCGGGCTTCTTAATACGGCGGATAAGAGAGGCACACTGGAGACTTTCTAAAAATATACTTTGGATGTTCACAACGTACAGATGTGCTAATCACAACGACACCGCTAACAAAGTGGGAGGGATGCTAGTCAGACACACAGACGCACACGCACACAGAAACGTGTTACCTGCAGTCTGGCGCAGTGAGGCTGCGTGTTCGCCAGTTAGCAGAAACAGAAAGTGTGTCAGTGTGGCTATAAAATCATATTTTTTTCTCCCACTGAACATATTCATCAAACACACACAACCCAACGCAACACTGTCAACAGTGCCAGCTGCTATTGCTAACGTCGGGAATGAAAAGCATTAAGGCTAGCTAAGCAGTACAAACAAAAAAGTTAAGATACGTTACGGGGGAAAAAAAATTGTACCACTGAGTGTCCCAATTTAGTTTTTTTAGTTTTTGAGTTACAAGCCGTTATTTGGTCATTCTTATTTTGTTTTGTGTTGCAATTGAAATGTTCTTCCACTCGATAGCCGAAGGTACAAATAAGTAAAATATTTGTTGTTTAAATAATGATACCAGTGCAACACAAATGCTACTCTTCAGGAGTGGCAATAAAGAACATGAAGACTCGTTTTAAAGAATCGGTCGCTACCTGCCAAACCGCAGCTTGCCATGAAGTGAGTATAGTTCACTGGCACAGTACAGCACTCGCATCTCAACATTTTGATCTCATGTCAAAGCAAAAAAGAAAAAAAAAAAATCCAAATGACAGCTCGTATAAGTCAGATCATTCGTAATTGACGGCGCCACGGTACGCTTTTGGTGACCTTTTTGTTTGCTTTTGTGTCAAGAGGTTTTTTTGAGATGAGTTTTTGCCACCTGGAAGTAGAAGTGACGTCGTGGTGAAGAGGTTCACATGCTGCACTTCGTGTTGCGTATCCATTTGTTATATTTTTGGGTTTACGAGCAGGCAGACGGGACAAGTGCGAGGACGGGACGGGACAGACAATGGGGGTGTTGATGAGGGGTGGGAGCATGTGGACAAAGGGGCATACATACCGGGGTGGCAGTGCGGGCTATGCTCATAAACCTAACAGCGATTAGTACAGGTTTCTGGAAGGAGGGATTGGGGTCGGGAGGGGGGGGGGGGACAAATTGGGGTTAGGGAGACTTGACAACGACAGCTGCAGCCCGCTACCATTTTTCAAATGCAGCCCGTCATCCAGTTTATACAGTTGAACCGTCGGGTCTCATGCAAAATAAACCACTGCTCACCCCGCCCCCTCTACTGCCAGGTGGGCCAACGTGAGAACAACTTTCGTTACCATGACGACCAGGGGCGGGCGCTAAGGGTGGATTGTATTATTGCTCGTGGAGGGAGCACTTGAACTATTTTTTCATTTTTTTGCAGTCTGGCCACTGGCAATAAAAGTGAGTTCACTCATAAGTGAAAAGTGTCTCACTAAAGTGAGTATACTCCTCCCCTTCTTGTCAATATGTTTTCATTTGACATTGCACGCGAGGTGCAAAAGGTGTTTTCATGGACAATCACGTGAGGGGAATGAACTGCAAACGCGCCAGCCGCATCACGAAGCGCGCCGACATTCAATGACGAGCGCGCAGACCGGCGGCCGGACCGGCGCGACGCGCTTACCATGGACCTCCTGACGTGGGTCAGTCGGCTCTTGGCTTTGCTCTCGGCGAACTCCAGACTGTTGATGTCCTTCAGGCGCGCTTTATACTTGCTCATCTGCTCAGTGATGATCAGCTCCACGCACCTGCGGACCAGGAACGACAACGTTATTTGACCAAAAAAAAAAAAAAAAAAATGGTTGAGATGAAGAATTAACTGTTCATGTTTTCAAACGGCCTCATAACAATTTTAATTGCATAAAGATGCCACAAGATGGCAAAAAAAAAACTTAAAACGGATGATCACCAAACACCACAAATCTAGCACATACACGATCATGTTACACAAGCAACTGTAAAAAATAAACTATTCAACACAAGGCTGATCAGTATTAGCTAGCATAGTAGTCTCATTAGCACGATAGCAGAAATTGACGTAACATAACAGATGGGCAAATAAAAATACACAACTCTCAACTCAAGTGTATTTCTCGAGCACTTTGAAACAAGCACCGCTGTATACCAAGTGCTGTGCGCGGAGCAAAAAATAATTCATACAACAACAACAAACAAAAAAAATAACAACAAAGACAGGAGAAAGCACAAAAACAGTCAAACTAAAAATCTAGTCAAAAGCCAAAGGCTAAAATTAAGTTGCAAGACGAGTTTGAAAGATACGCTGAAAGAGTAAAATGCAGGGAAGACATGCAGGAATGTACAAACACAAACGTAAAATTTGGGAGAAGAAGTTGGGAAGAAGACGAGCGGACGTACGCCGTGGTCTTGCTGATGTCCTGGACGCTCTGCAGAGGGTCGATGGTGTCGGGGCAGCGCAGGACGCAGGGGGCGAAGACGATGGCCAGCGCGTTGGCCGACATCCTGTTGGTGTCCTCCTGCAGTGCAATCCTGAAAGCCAAACACATCACGCATGCGGATTACTAAACATGTACTTCAGTACTGATTTAAATATTTCATGTCAAATTACATTGATTTGGTATTGATGAAATTACATGACTATTTATTTAGTATGGGCAAAAATTCTACATAAAGGTGGCTGACTGAATAATCAATATCAAAATGATTCATTTAAAATGTGCAAAAATCATTTGATTGGGAAAATACAATCGTCAATAAATATCTCAAACTTATTCAACGGGTTTTTTTTTTTTCCATCCATGACTAATTAAATTTACGTCATGTTGCGTCAGTGCTCACCTGACCAGATGGAAAATGAGGCGTTCCAGCGTGCTGAGGTGCGTGCGGCTCAGCTGGTCGATGACAGAGTACACTCCTCGGATCACCTCCCGCTTGTCGGATTGACCTGACCACAAAAAAACAAAAAAAAAAAAAAAAAAAAACAACGTGCATGCTGTCGGACGGTTGTTGACCTTTTCATTTTGTAAACAACAACCGCTTGACATGGACAGAAAAGTAAGACGGAGTATCACGTGACGAGCTTACCCATGGCTCGAAGAAACTCCTCGTAGAGCTCAAACGTCATGAGAGGGCTGGGCAGGTCGCGGAGCCACTGCTTGAGCACGCTGGCGATGACGTGGATGTTGTAATCGTCCAAGTTCACGCTGCTCACGTCTGGAATGAAACAACGGACAAGTGGGCTCACTTCCCGTCACTTTTAAGTGCAACGTGTGCTTCCTTTGTCCCCACGAGTGAAAAGAACAAATGCCTGGGAGTAGCGATGGGGAAAACGAAGCTTCAAATGTGCTTCGTGAAGCAGTTGGCATTTGCACAGGGGAATATTTCCCAGACGAATGTTATCGCTTTCAATCTCACCGGTGTCCAGCCCTTGGCGCAGTTCCTTGATTTTATTTGTGGAGCCCGACTTCCTGTAAATGCCCTCGGTGTAGAGGCCGTGCATCTCGATGTAGTTGATGAGCTTCTCCACCAATTGGGGCACGTTGCGCTCCTCGCTGGTCAGCCTCGAGAGCTCGACGGCAAACTGACGAGGCGACAGCTCCGGATCGTACTTGGTGACACGTACAACAGTCCCATTAGGAAAAAAACAAAAACGACGACGACAAGGACGGTTTGAAGAAGCTTTAGGAAGGATCGGCGCTTACCTTTTTACTGCACTTGGTGGCCATCTTGGAGCAGCACTTCCTGTGGCAGGCGTAGCGGCAGACTGCAACACAGAACACGAACAGCTCAAGCCAATCTGCGGTTGGAAACCTGCTCCGATTGGTTTGGAGGCGAAGCCAAAGTGCTCGAAAGCGCTAACCCGATTGAAGACGGCATTACGAAAGAGGGCGGGGAGTTTTAATCCAATTTTTTTTTGCCCCTCGGAGAATGAGGAGAAGTGTCAGGTAAGCGAGTTAGCGAGAACATGAGGAGGGGGGGGGGGCTTTTATTCCTTTTCTCATAAGTGACGTGAGACTTCAGCAATTTTTTGTGAGGGTTCAGCTCAGGATGTTTTGCTGTGCACCAGTGAGAGCAATGTGGATAAAATTAACGATAAGCGCAGAAACAGAAATGGAAATTTGCATTGTGACATAAGGATTGTAGCGAGGATTTATTTTTTTTTGTCCCATGCCATTATGAAAAACATGTTTTGCTTTTGGTAATATATAGATATATTTTTTTAAAATAAGCGCTTCCTTTTGGAAATAATGTGCCATTTTGTCTCGGTGTAGATGTGAACCAGGGCTTGACCGATTTGTCGACCCATCGCCTTTTTTTACAACGACACTCAGCATAACGGGTTTTATTTTGAAGCATTTGCTGTTGTTTGTTTCTGTCGGTCCGTCAAAATACGTCTTGATGCAAAACCCGTCAATGGCGCAAAAAAAAAAGTGAATGTCTTGTACTGCGATGAAAAAATATCAATCTTAAATTTCATCACATTGTAGTTGACGAAAATAAAGTTTCATTGTTCAAACCCGAAATAAGACAACCCTTCGTCAAAGAATATTTAAAATGTTGAACAATTTGGGGAAAAAAAACAAAACGGTGACCACGCAACGGATGATTTCCGTCTCCGGTATTTTCGATGGTAATTCCGTGTTGGAAGGTCAAAAAAAATCTGAGCTTGCACCTCAGGGGTGCCAGTATCTTTGTCACGTGTCCTCTAAATATGAATCCCTTTCAAAGACGCGTCTTAATTCTTTTTCGTGGGCTGGCGCTCACGTTTGCAGACGCAGGCTCGGTCCATCATCCAGATGAGCGAGGAGCAGTACTCGCAGTAGGTGGGGATGCTGTACTGCGTGGATTTGAAGATGTGGCCGTTG